ATGCCAAGAAAAGAAGGAAAGATTTCATTGTCCCTTGAAAAGAATGAAGAAATCATTGATAAGTTTAATGGGGTTCAAGTGAAGTGGAGGTTTGCTTCAAAAAATATTCCTTCCAAGTATATTCAAGGATCTGATCCTTACAACCCTGTGGTTAAATCCGAGATTCGGTTCTTCGAGCTAAGTTTCCATAAGAAACATAAAGAAATGATCTTGAACGAATATATGCAGCATATATTGGCCAAAGCAAAAGAAATGAAGGAGAAAAAGAAGACCTTGAAGTTATATACCTTGAAGTACGAGAGGATGCCTGGAAGGAAAGGGGATATGTGGCAGTCAGTGAATCTTGATCATCCGGCTACTTTTCAAACCCTGGCAATGGATTCAGAGATGAAGCAGAAAATAGTGGAGGATTTGGAGAGATTTGTGAAAAGAAAGGAGTACTACAAGAGGGTAGGCAAGGCCTGGAAAAGGGGGTACTTGTTATTTGGTCCTCCTGGCACAGGGAAGTCAAGCTTGATTGCTGCCATGGCCAATTATCTTAATTTTGATATTTATGACTTGGAGTTGACTGAAATCAGAGGGAATTCAGAGCTCAGGAAGTTGGTGATTTCAACTGGGAACAAATCAATACTGGTTGTGGAGGATATTGATTGTTCTCTGGAGTTGCAGGATAGGCTTGCACAAGCCAGGGCTGCGGCAGCACAAAGTTCTCGACATATTCATTTACCTCAGGTAAATAATTAAGAAGACTATGCTGCATTGTCAAAATACTAACGTCCTATTTATAATTGCGTGCTTTTAATCGTTGTATTTTGTGTATGCTTTATAAGATTCTGATTATCAGAAATTTTTAACACCACCCAAATTCAGATAAAAGCTTTTCTCAAAGTCTATGTAGGAGTAACGTTTCCATTAAGTTGGTAAGCTAGAGCAAGAATAACTGGTACAGCATATCTTATAGCGGGAAATTTCTTCTCGTCTTTCATAAGGAATTCTGGTTTTGATATTGATATATCAAATTGCAATGAATTATGAATACGTGTTTGGATAATGAGATATCATCATACACACTGTTGCTGTGTGTTTGTGGCATTGAGAATGGAAATGAATATAATGGAACCTAAAGATTCACATTTTGCTTTCTATCAGTATCAGTTGACCCTGTCAGGATTGCTGAACTTCATAGATGGGTTATGGTCAAGCTGTGGGGATGAAAGGA